ATGCTAAATCTTAAAATTATTTAATAAACCTGTATATTCATGATTATATTTGTCAATTATCCGCGCATTGCGCGGGTATGTATACTAGTATAGAGATAAAAGCAGAAAATTACAGAAAAAAGGATTAATTGAATACCTCAGACTGATCATGATCATAACGAACCAGAAACCGACAACGGCAACCTCTCACATCATGTCTGCGTCTTTGAGCATCAAGGACATGCGCATCAAAGTACAGAGCCTGCTCTTTGCCTTCCTGAAAATTATAAGAGCATTAGCTAAATGATGACAGTTTGGTAAGTTTAGCTTTAGCAATTGACCCATAATAAAATGCACCTGGAAGCAAAGAATCAGATCACCAGGGAGAACTGCAACACATTCTGACGATTCGCATGGAAGGGATCGCTGTCTTACGTGCTTACATACATTTACCCACTCATCCTCCTCTGCTCCAAACCCCGCAAATCGAACCAGGACTTCCTGAAATTAGAAGTTTATCACCATTAAGAGGGAAAAAAAGGATAAGGTAAAACAGACCGGAAGAAGAAGATATGCACAAGGTAAATGAAACAACTTCATGGAGATAGCCTCTAGTTTTGGAGCATGTTCCAGACAAAGACATAGTTTGCATTATGATCCTCAACATCAGACAAAAAGGCCACGCATGTTACAGAGGGGCTGGAAAACGTAACTAGAAAAGCACCCTCATGTATTTCCTGATTTCTGAAAAATAAGAGGGCTAAACCTGGCTCAACAATCAATAGCAAACTCCATTGGGTAAAAAGAAAGAGCGGAAAGATAATTCTATGCATAATATACAAATTTAACCACCCGGCTAACAATAATATCTTTCATGGAACATAAGATAGGTATCTCTGAGAATTACCGGATCAGCAGTTTCCACAGATCTATGTGATAGGAAGCTTGCTACATCATACCTAAGGAAGGATAATATCATTAAGAGCGGATCTAATGAAGATGGAAATGAAGAAAATGATAAAGCCAAGCATAAATGTATAGAATGACTTAAAAGACAAACCATGCACCATCTCTTGCAGATTTAGCTTCAAACTCCATTTGAATGTTATCTGAAGCACTCCTGCCCACATTTTGTGCTGCCACTAAAAAATAAGTAGAAAATATGTAGAGTTAGGTTATGACTTGAAAGAAATATAATTAGAGGAAAAAGTAGTTCTTTTCAAGAGAGAAACAGGGGAAAAGGAGCAAAAGGAACCTGCAGATTTTTGCAGTATTATTTTTTATTACAGTACTTGAAATTTAGCCACATTTCTTATTCATCATTTTATCAACAAGGGTAGTGATTCAGCCACTATTTTCCTAAATATCATTGTTGAAGTATTTTCCTAGAGATGGACAGATTTCCAAAAAAATGTATAATCTAGTGAAACCACAAACAAAACTCCTATTTGATGAGATATGCCTCATTCATTCCAAAACAGCCAAATCTAATCACACATCTTCTGAAGATCAAAATCAATGGACTCTATGTTTCCAAGAGTCAATCTGCTCTCATTAAACAACAGAGGCACCTCGTATTCGTGGATCTAGCTACTTGTTCTAATTAATTATCACCATTTTTTGTACTCCGAAATTAGAGAGAATATTCAGCTTCTTAACAATATGACGGCGGTTCAGTGGGTATCCTCCTCCAGTTAACATTTCATTGCAAGTTCTCATGAATTCACTTTAATAAAATCCAGCTCAGGATCAAAATCACATCATCTTTTTCAGCAGTTCAATAATTCTGCCGGCCTACGGAATTCAATTCTGAAAGCACCATATTCTCAGCTAGCCTGGATCAACAACAACCTACCCAGTGTATTCCCACAAGTGGGGTAGTATGTACGCAGACCTTACCGCTATCTTATCAATTCAAGATAAGGTGGATACCAAGAAGCTTAAGAAACAGCTTAAACACCATAATGCCTTTACCATACTTTTAGCACATTACACTATCAAAAGTATCAACAAAGCTATTATTAAGTATGGCATACTTCTGCTCCCTCCAGCTCTAGTTAAGACTGATCAAATGTGCACACTGCCACATACGAGAAGGCCACAGAACAGGGTAACTAGACATATAGCAATCAGACATTTATCACATGGCAAAATATAGATTAGTAGAATGATATAATCTTCTTTTTTTTGGTTTTGTGCGTGTGATAAGGTAATATATATTTGATATTGTGGGATTAAAAAAACCCCGTGCAAGTAGTATATAAAAAAGTAGAGAACCTACACAACAGTAGAATGAGGTAATATGCAACTAGCAATAAATGATAATCGTGATAGACAAACATAAGTTGGTAAACCCATTGCAAGGATCACTAAGAAGACTCTTTGCAAAAGAACAAGAAACCATAAGAATATTGCTTAACAGTTCTACCTGATGGAGCAGGTAGAGGTTGAGGCGCTTGGGGCATTGATTTCACTGTAAGTAACAAAAGTCAGACAAGTTAAGGTCTTAAGGAAGAACAGTGAAAACCAAATATATAAGACTCTTGTTAATCATAAATAAAGCAGAGAGAAATTTGCGACTGTTTTGAAACACGGTAGTAAATTTCAAATTCTACCTTGAGGAGAAGATATGGGTTGAGAAGCTTGGGGCATAATCCTTACTGCAGCTGGATCACTCTGAGGCACAGGTGACGCACTCAATTTTGCAGGAGTTCTTACCATAGCTGAATCACTTTGAGGCACTGACGGGGTACTAAATTTACCAGGAACCTTAGCTGTTTTTGCTCTAATAGCATATCGTCTATTTTGGAACCAGTTCCAAACCTATGACAATACTTTCATAATTTCAGGTAAAAAATAAATAGTGAATGGTTATGAAAACATTTTACATTCAATCATCAGAGGTTTAAAAAAGGAAAAGCCTCTTACTTGTTTCATTTGAACCATAATTTTTCCAGATCTCTCCGCTGAAGAACTAAATAGAGTAGGTACATTACTATCCAACCTTCATGAGCATATAAAATCAAAGGAACAACTCTAAATATATGGCTCATTAACAACCTACCTAAACTTCTCAGCAAGAGCTACGAGAACTTCACGAGCTGGCATTGTAGCATTATGTGCTTGCAATATAGCTTCCATCTCAGCGACCTGCAATGTTTGACAAATTACTAAGGCTTTAAACACGATTCTATATCTCGCTGTGAAGTTACCAGATGCAACTACTGTACAAGTACAATTAAGCTGTCAGGCACATGCTATATTGCTCAGACTCGGGTGGGGTATACGAGGCGGGTGCGGATCTAGAGGTCAGACTCGCCATCATATAAACTTTAGGATTCGGGGGTATGGATCTGAGTGCGGATACGGATGTTGGGGTACGGACAATGAATTTATATATAAAGTATATATTTTGACTAGTTAAAGTTATTGAATTAAAACTAATAAAATATTATTCTTTATAAACACCTAATAATTTATTCATAAGNATATATATGTAAACCCAAATATCAAACCATATTTCTCGGTCATAGAATGTAGTCAAAGTACCAAAAGTAAGTTGACCAAATCCGGAATAGATCCAACACCCACACTCATGTCATGTTGACATGGGTGCCACAGGGATTTTGAAGAGTCCGTCTGTCGGCACAACATAGGTCGCATGTGTGGAGAAATGTTTTGGTATAACAGTTGAAAAAGGGAAGGATGTATGATAAGTGGGAAAGCTTCTATGGCGTACATTTCTCCACGGTTACTTCAAAATTAACAAAAGCAGCTCATGAATTGATGAAAAACATCTCATGTTGACAAGTGAAATCTTTCATCAAATGGAACTACTTAAATGAGTTAATACCCTAAAATCCCCCTAAGTATCATGTTTTTGTCACTTTCATGCTTAAACTATTCGGTGTCTCCAAAACCCCCCGAACTATATTGCCCTTCATGCCAAAAACCCCTCGTTTCATTCTTAGTAGTGCGTCTAGTACACGCTCCTAATTATCTAAAACATATGCCATGTAATACTACACGTGGCTATTTAACCATGCCTAGAACCCCATAAACTACCACTCTTTTGTCAGTTACCTACTTTTTTTTTTTT